CCCTTCACACCGGTGGGGAAGACGCCGGGATGCCAAGACGGACCGGGGACAAAGACGGCACAGTGAACAAAATAAGGTGGACAGAGAAGCATTGGCCTCTCCAACGGTTCCACCACCGCCGCGGTGGCTTTCCCAGTGCCAGGACCGGCACACGGCTCGCCTGGGGACGTACCACCTGTTTGCTGTCCTCGGCAAAGGTGGCCTTGACAAACATGGCCCCCAGAGCAAAGCCCAGGTTGTTGTCCGTGTCGCTGATGCAAAATTTCCAGCGCGGGAGGCAGGTCTGCATGGGACAAGAGAGGGTCGTCAGCAGTGGCACAGCCACAGCCCCCCACCTTCCCACCCCACTGCCCCGCTGGGAGACAGGAGTCCACATCTATCCTGTCCCGGAGCTGTGACCCCAAAACCTGCCCCACATCTCCATTTTTTGGCCGCAACGTGATGGGGACTTTGCTTAAAAAGCCATCACCGTTTTAATGGTGATCTGGGGTGCCTGGAGGGATCCCACCTCACCTTCTTTGTCCCGTACATCACTTCCATGAATTTTTCCTCGGCATCCTGGAAGCGCTGGTCGAGGAAGGGGCTGGTTTTCCGCACCAGGTTCCAGATCATGTAGTTGTTGAGAAGACTGCGGCGAGAGGCGTTGAGTGGGCAGCAGGACGTGCCTGCCCACCCTGGGCACCCCTCCACGCGGGCTGGGGGCTCTCACCATTTATCCGTGGCCAGGATGAGGTCGGAGACCTGCTCCAGGTACTGCTTGGCGTAGACCACAACCGGCTCCGACTCGTTGAGCTCCACGGGATAGAAGACTGTGGCGAGAAAAGGCATCCAGTCCACGGCCGGTGCCAGCTCCTGCAAAAGCCATGCCACTGCTCCAGACCCAAAAATCATCGGAGGGGGGTGGCAGCCACTTCCCTAGCTGAGGGATTCAGTTCATTTTGCAGAGGCCGGTTCCCATAAGAGCAGCATCCTCCAAAGGTCGGAGGGGAGTAAACAATTTCCTCCAGCAAAGGAAAAGAAAAGTGGGGCGGGTGTCAAAAATGTTGACACAACCCCTTAGGGCCCCTCTGGGGACACGGGGAGGTGACTGGGCTGACGTCGGCAGCCGGAGCGCACGCAGAGGCGCCGGCAGGGCATTAGTGCCGTGATGGGACAGCCACCAGCCCCGGGGGTGGTCCAAAGGCTCGGAGGAGCGGGTCAGAGTGGGATTTCCCCAGGGAGGACGCAGGCCAAGCTATTGCACAAGAGCTTCCCAGGCGGTGGCCAACATCAGGCTCCTTGGGAGGAGCTGTGACACCTCCTCGCATCCACCCCACTTCCCAAATGACAGCGGAGCGGGAAGGCTGGCCAACCCCAGCCCTACCTTCAGGTCTCCAGCCGTCATTTTATGGTAGATGACCTCCTCGTCCCTGTGCTTCTCCTGCGGGATGGTGATGTTGGCCAACGCCGTCTCGAAGTCCAAGATCTGCTGCATCTGCTGCCGTGTCGACTCCTCGTCGGTGCCTCCCAGGAACATTCCCAGCTGCACCATGTAGTTCAAGTACCCGGCGAGCACCTACAGGGTGGGACAGGGAGGGATCAGCACCCACCCACCCGCAGCACCTCCCCGGCAAAGCCAGATTCCCGCCGACAACCGTGCCTTCTCATTCTCGGTCTTGTTCAGGTAGTAATCCCGCGATGGCAGGCCTAAGCCTGACTGATCCACCTGGATGACGTTGCTGTTGGAGTTCTTGGAGTCAGCGCTGACGTAGACAGAGAAGAAGGGCGAGGTGCGGTAATGTGCCGTCACCTCCCGCAGCGTCGCGTTGAAGTTGTCACCGGCCCAGGGACCCGTGATGTTCCAGCCGCCCAGCTGCGGAGAGACAGCAACCGGCTTTTGCGTAAGGAACAATCACCCAGAATCACTTAAGTATCTCCCCAGTACCCATCCTGGGGGGAAACATCTTGCAACGGGGCTAAAAAGCTCCAAAGCAGCAAGATAAATCCCTGCCTCTCCCTGCCCGCCTGCCCTGGAGGATGCGTTGCCCTGGGAACGGGGCCTGGAAGGTGCTGGGACTGCCCGTAAACGAGCTTTTTCACCCCATTTTGCAGAGAGAAGACAGCTTCTCCCCAAGGAAGGGGACGAACCTTTTGGATGAGCTCCACGAGCGGGGTGGCGCGCAGCTCCTCAATCTTGCTCTCGTTCATGCAGGCTTGGTAGTAACGCTGCGCCTTGCGCTCCGCCTCGCTCGACACGTTGGCCGTGGTGTTTTCTGCAGGAGGTACCCGGGGGGGGTCACAGGGAGTCCCCAGGGATGGGCATCCAACCCCCAAAGGGGCTGCCAGAGCCCCTCACCCTTCCACCAGAGAAATAACCCCATTTTGGGCAAAGCCAGGCTCAAAAAAGGCACTGAGGTTTGCCTCAACAGTCCCGCCCAGTACCCCCAAGAGCATCCCATGGCCCCCAGCCCTTCCCGGCCTGCTGCCCCCACCCGCAGCGACTGCTCTGGCTCTTTGGAGCAGAAAGATAAAGAAACCAAAAACAAAAAGCATTTTTCTCGCAGCTCTGATGTTGCCAGCAACATCCAGCCCCTGTGCTCCCTTGCCCCCGTGCTGGCGTTCCCCAGCCCCACGTTATTTATTCCTGCAAGAAGGAACAATAACCCCATTTTTCTCCTTCACCTCCAAAACCATCCTTTCACTTCCCACCCCCCTTAAAATTCTGCTTCCCCAGAGGCTTTTTTATTTTCCTCATGACACAGCTTGCACCTTTGGCTTCCCAGCTGTGTGGTTTTATTAACTAAAGGTCCCTCGGCACCGAGGAATTCAAGGAAATGCCGAGCGCGACCGCTTGGCTGGAGGCCTGGTCCCTTCTCCCAGTAAAACCAGCGCCAGATTTCTGCGGGAAGAGTCGGGGACGAAGCCATTCCCGCGCCACCCCCCTTCTCCCAAAAGACAACACTCTTCCCAAACCTTCCCTTTTCAGATAATCAGCCCCAGCGCAGTGGAAAGTGCTGATAAGGAGCCAGTTGTTTGCTCAAAGGCTGAGCAAACCATCCCCACTGGTTGCTGGGGTAAGCTGCTCCGCTCTGGTTCGCACGCAGAGGCTGAGCCCAGGATCCTCTCTCTGCTGGGCGAGTTTTGGCCCCCAGAAATGGCCAGATTAGCAGCCAGCCCCCCCAAAATGCTGCTGGCTAAGGCTGGAAGCTCCAAGCAGGAGGAAAAGTCCCTCTCCCTGGGGGTGCTACGGCCTTTGGGTGCAAATCCTAAATTTTTACACTCCTGAGAACGCTGCCACAGGGTTTGCGGAGCCGAGGTCGGGACCCTTCCTCTACTCCGCACTGAAGAGCTGCAGCACCACGGTCAAAAAAATCCCAGAGGTATCTAACAGAGCAAACCCAGATCTGCTTCCCAACGTCCTCGCAGCACGTGCGTCATGGACTGGTTTGACGCTGCCATTTCAGTCCAACCTTACACCCCCGCGGATGCATTTTCAGCATTCCCCAGAGCTAACGGGGCCCCTCGGCACCGCGGGGTCCCACCGCTCCCCGGTGCTCACCCAGCAGATGCTTCATGATGGCCTGGTTGTGCTCCCAGAGGTTGTTGAAGGTGCCCCAGCGCGAGTGGCCGTCGGGGAGGGGGTTGGCCTTGATCCAACCCCCACAGGCGTAGCTGAAAAAGTCCTCGCAGGGGTTTACTGCCCGGTCCAGCGAGCTGAGGATGGAGCTGGTGACGGAGATGCAAGCTTCCGACAGGCATACAGTGGGTGGCCCTGGGGGGTGAGCACGACGGGCTCAGCTCCTCCGCCGTGGTGCGATGAGCCGCACCAGGCAGCATCCTGCCCCGCCACGAAGGATGCAGGCAGATATCCCATCTGGTGCCTGAGCATCCCGCCCTGTAGCTTAACTTCCTGCTCCAGGGCAAGTGATACAGACCAGCATCCCATCCCATGCCCGAGCATCCTGCCCGATCGTCCCGTCCCAGGGCAAGCATCCCATCCTGCACCCGAGCACCCCATCCAGGGAACCCCCCCAGCATCCCTCCCCGGTGAAGGGAGTAAGATCCCGGCACGGCGCAGGACTTACGGGCTCTGTACTGGAAGATGATGCCCAGCAGACACGCCGCCAACACCCCCGCCAGCACCCCCGCCAGCACCACGAGCTGCTTCTCCGTGCGCGTCCGCTCACCCCAGCACCTCGGGCTGCTCCTCGAGCTGCGGAAGTTCACCTGCGGGAAAAGCAACACCGTTTCCCCGCCGGCGGAAAAACCCACCGATGCGTCCCCCATTTCGCTTCCTACGGCACAAATTTGTCCTCCGGCAGGGGATCCAGCATTGTTGAGGCTGGGAAAGGTGGCAGCTGCCTTCCAGAAACCAGCCAGGAAGGGCAGCACAATGGCAGGAAAGGGAGCGGGATGAGCGTTTCGGCAGGCTCACCTGCTACCCCGTGCCACCCAAACCCCTCCTCGAACACGGCCGTAACCCCCCGTGATGGTCCCCGGCCCCGCGGCCGGCACAGGGACAGGGTGGGGGCCACAGCGGGAAGTGCCGTAACAGGATACTCCCGCTCGGCCGAAAAACATCCCCAGGAAACATCCCGACGAGATGGCGAGGGGAGATGGCCTCATCGGGGAAAGCAAAAACACAGCGGAGCCCTGATTTTCGCGGTGGGAAACACCATTCTGAGCAGACACCGACGGGGCTGGGAGCGGGGCCAGCACCGAGAGCATCGCTCCAGCCCCAAATCCTTCCCAGCGAGGCCGGATGCTGGCAGCCGTGGTGGTTTTTTTCCCTTTTCTCACCACCCGTGGCCCTTTCTAAGCCGCTTTCCCGCTGTTCGGGCAGGAATTAATCTAATCCCCTTTTGTGCGTGGACAAAGCTCCCAGCGCCGTGATAATTGCTCGTCCCAGACACACCAGTAAGGGGTTGGGTGGGTGGAAAAACTGGGTGCTGGGGCATTGCAAAGAGCCAAGCCAGGATTCGGCCCCGCAGGCTCCCCCGTCACCGGCTCCGGGTGCCGGGAGGGGAGCAAAGGGCAGCGGCGGCAGAAGCCAACGCAGCTCTGCCCACGCCGGACTTTGCCCCACGGAAAGGCTGGTCCCAGGCGGAAAACCCTCCTACACCCCCCCCCAAGCTGCTTGCCAGGACCTAAAATTTTTCCCCCAAAAAATTTTTTCCCCAAAACCACAGAGGAAGCCTTACCTGGAAGCCGTTGGGGTACCCGTCGCCTTCGCTGAGGGAGTCCAGGGGGTCTTCGTCGTCCAACGTCGCCCGCTTGTAGGTCGACATCTGCACGGGGAGATCGGCAAACGGAGGTGCTCAGCGGCGCGGGGTCGAGGAAGAGGAAGGAGGGCGAGGAAGGTATACGCACCCTCTGAAGCTGCTTCCTCCTCCGGGGAACTAAATCCCGAATGGCTCCGGGGTAGCAAAGCACTAAACAAATGCCGGAGGAAGGTTATGGAAAGCGACGCAGCCGGAGCCAAAGGCTGAGCGAAGCCCGAACCCGCCTCGCTTTCCCCCGGGGCCGCGTTGTGCAACCTCCCCTTCAGCCTGGAATAAAGCCGGTTCCTCCTCCGCCAGCTCCCAGCCCTGAATGGGAACTAAATCCCGAATGGCTCCGGGGTAGCAAAGCACTAAACAAATGCCGGAGGAAGGTTATGGAAAGCGACGCAGCCGGAGCCAAAGGCTGAGCGAAGCCCGAACCCGCCTCGCTTTCCCCCGGGGCCGCGTTGTGCAACCTCCCCTTCAGCCTGGAATAAAGCCGGTTCCTCCTCCGCCAGCTCCCAGCCCTGAATTGAATTGCACGCAACCCCCAGCGTGCCGGGGACCTAACACAGGCCGGTAGTGGAGAAAATGGCTTTTCACCCCAAAACTACCAGCTTGCTCGCGCTCCCCGCCCCGCCTGCGAACCGTGCACACCCC